GCTTTGTAGCGTGTGTTTAATGATTTCCTTCCCCAATCCCTGACTGCTATACGTATACAGTCTGTCTGTTGGCTATATGGGAATGAGTTGGACCTGCTCTTCCTGTTGAGGGGGAAACGTAAACATTGGCCAAGGCCTGAGCGAAAAATGTTTATTCAACCTACAGAGTATGACAATGGCACATTACCCGGTTCGTGCGACTGGCCAGAGCATCTGGATTAGAGTTGTAAATTCGTCTCCATGCTCCCATATATCTTGTGTTAAATAGGTGCACTCAGACCAATACAATCGAGAAAAGTTCATCAATTAGTCCATTCTACTCATAATACACAAACATAATCTTCCTTGAAAAAGAACTTCCCAACGTCCTGTTTCCGTCACCGCTGGCTTCCTTAACCAAAATCAACACAAATCAGAACAAAAATAGCGGGTATCAAATAAGTCCTCAAACCATTCCCTCCAAGCCAACAATCAACTCCATTCCCTTCCCCTTTCAACGCATGTAGCATCGCTCGAGTATCCAATCAACGAGAAATAAATCCCTTCTCCACCAGGACACTAGTATGTTTTATGCCGCTAGTGTAGCCCTAGTGACTAGCGGTTGGTGATGTCATCTTCCTCTGATTTTCAAGAGGGGATGAAGTGGGCAAAGATATCGAGGGGAGAGGTATGATGTGAAAAGGTTTCGGTGAGGTGTTGGTGAGATCGAGGTCACGGGGCTGTCCCGTGATGTGACTCCTGGCTGGCGAGGGGCGAGTGGTGTAGGGTGTAGTAAGAAAGAGGCGCATTGAGAGCGCTGTCCTCATGTCAAGGCTTCCACCGGGGAAGATGACTGTATCGAGGTGACTGGCGCTTAGACGCACTCGCCGCATTGGGGGTGCTGGCAGTGGACACAGGAGTTGCTGATGACGAGCATAGCTCCGCACTGGCAGCAGCGAGGTTGGTAGGCAGACATTATGGAGGTGTTTGCAAGGGTACTAGCTCGAGGCTGCGATGCTGAACAGAGATTATGTTTGTCTTGATGTTTGAGCAGATGGCAGGACTGGAGCAGTGATGGTAGGGAAGAGAAAGAAAAGAAGTGCAGCCTAGCTACACGGTTGGGGGCTACCGAGCTATATACTGAAACTCAAAGGTCAGGACTGCCTTGGGGTGGCAAGTTTCCCCGGAAGGTGTGGGCGTTTGGGTGATGGCTTGGAGGTCGAGGTCGCATGACCACAACGAATAGGAAGCCAGGCTGAGGCCGGTTTCCGGAGAAGCGGGAGATGACTTGGGGTGTCTTTGTTCCCCAGGCGCCCTGTTGACCGAGAATTGTCTTGGAAAACACCCTTGGATCAGCAGCTTTTCTCTGGGGAAATCGTGAGATGGACCTCAAAGAAGGTTCAAAATGGCCTGGTGCGAACTGCAATGCCTCCCACAGTCCATGCAGTGCATCCCCTGGCTGCAGTAGCTTGGGTGTGATCGAAGCTTCCCCGCAGCTAATCAAGCTCTCGGGATTGGCTGCGTCACCAGACTGTCACCAATCAGCGAAAGCCATGAGCTTTCGAGATTTGGTAACGTTTTGTTTCGTGGGGGCTGCCGGAATCCCCCGGAGCGACACCATCACCACCCTCACCATTCCCAGCCCTGTGGTTCGCCGCCGTCGTGGCCGGCAACTTTCTATTGAGTGGGGGATCGTCCGAATAGGGAAGAAACGACCCCGAAGACCCTGTGGGACACACGGTCAAAGAAACGCACTGACGGGACTGACGTGGGTGGTGTATCCGATGTTGAGTTGCCGCTGAAAAGATGCCGCCTCGACAATTCCTTTGTCTGTAGGACATGAAGCTCTCATTCTGGGCCGAGAACTGTCGACACGATTATGAGAGAAGCGGGAATGCTGGGAAACTGAGATGAAGCACTGCAGCTCCGATGGGGAGAGATACACGTGGCTCAAACACATGTTCGGCGGCTCCCAAGCGTCGGTGACCGAATCAGCACGAAGGAAGAGGGCAGACTTGTTGCATCTCTTAGAAACCGAGATGCTGGAAATGGCAATGAAGTGAAGTAAGGTGGAATGTGGAGATTGGCTGCCACCCAGCCGGGCTCGAAATTCCAGCCACACGCAGTTGTGTGGCAGGTGGCGGTATGCTCAGACAGTCTCACTCCACTAACCCACCACAAGGCACACACGGCCAACCGTGCCAACCCACACAACAGAGGCAACTCGCAGGATTCGACCCAGGAAGTGGAATTAAAAAGTGCTCCAATCACCCGCCGAGGCATTCTCGTTGGCGTCTCATCCCTCCAGATCTTTTGACTTGGGGTGCCTGTCTTTTCCAATTGCTTGAACAATGCTCAGATGCTAAGAATTAATGCCGATTAGGTTTGCAGGAATTCCCGAGGGGGCAATTCGAGGTCCGAGAAGTCGAGGCCGCATTTACAAATTTGGCTGGTGTTGTCGACGGCTCCCTCGACGTGGCAACGCCGCAATGCCCGCCAACACTTCACCAGCCTCTGCAAAGGAGCGGCCAGGCCCGGCCACGATGAGGACAGCACTACGAGTCAGCCGCCGCATCTCACCGCATCTCCGTTTCCCGAGTATGATGGAACAATAGCGTTCGGAGCTGGTTCCAACCGGCACTTTGAAGGCAGCATTTCAGCCACACGGCGGAGGAATTCGAGGTAGGCTGTGCTGCCGTATATCCGCCAGCAACAGAATTCCTTCTATGAATGGCTTTTGGCAGTGGGCAATCTCGAAAGCCGTCATCCACTTCGCGGTGGGTCATGCGAGGACTTCCTGACACATGAAAGCGGCACAAGGCATTCCTGATGGCCTCCCGGGATAGGGGCCTCTTGTTTATAGTGATCCTCTAGGTATTCAAAGAAGCTTTATAACCATCTCACTTTTGACGTTGCACGTTCAGTCCTCATCTCACCATTCAGACGCCGTCAGCAACTCGACATTGGTAGCCTGCAGCATCTACTCAGCCAGTGATACATACCTCTTTTGATCCTACTGATCCTCCACCTCGCACTCCTATTTAGGCCGCCTTTGCGTTCGGTTCAACACTTTGGGAACCGGGAATATACCTCCTGACCTCACCTACACACAGAAAAGCTTTTTTTTCCAGCTCAACAATCATCATGGTCCGAATCAATCTTTGTAACTGGGGAAGGACGCCTAGTGCCTCGAATTCGACACTACCCCTGAGAACCCGAGAGAAGGAGGAGCTCCCAAGATCACAATCGATGCTTCAGATCCACCCTCTTGAGACCGAAGATGGTGTATTAATCAAGATTGACCCACCCAAAGAACCCGAGCTTGAAGACTTACGAGAACGAAACCATGTGCCTCTTGATTTGGTCCTCTCGATCGATGTGTCAGGCAGCATGGGTGCAGATGCACCTGTTCCAGCAAAGAACGGCACAGAAGGAGAGCATTATGGCTTGTCGGTGCTGGATCTTGTGAGGCACGCAGCCAAGACTATCTTGGAGACATTGGACGATCATGACAGGTTGGGGATTGTGACGTTCAGCACCAGCAGCAAGGCAAGTTTACGTCTGTGTGCGCCTTAAAGACCTCAAGACTAACAACTGAAAACAGGTGGTTCGAGAACTCACATACATGACACCAGCCAACAAGGCCAAGATCCTCAAGCAGCTTGATGCGTTACAGCCGTTATCCATGACCAATCTTTGGCATGGTATCCGTGATGGCCTCAGTTTGTTCAATAACAATCTCAAGGCAGTCAATGACCGTCGCAACCCTGGCAGTGGCCGAGTACCGGCCTTGTTAGTTCTCACAGATGGCATGCCGAATCACCAGTGCCCAAATCAGGGATATGTCGCCAAACTCAGGCAGTGGAGTACCCTTCCTGCCTCCATTCACACTTTTGGATTTGGGTATAGCTTGCGATCTGGTCTGCTCAAGTCGATTGCCGAGGTCGGCGGTGGCAACTACTCCTTCATTCCAGATGCCGGCATGATTGTAAGTTTTATTATCATTTGGTTTGAATTCAGAGCACTAACGAATCCAGGGAACTGTCTTTGTACATGCTGTCGCTAATCTCCAGTCAACTTTCGCAACCAATGCCGAACTCCAGCTCACCTACCCAGCGCCGCTGGAGCTCAGACAGACAACAGGCGATGCCGTGGAGAAACAACAACCATTTTCACCATCTGGGGACGACTCTCCCAATAAAACTCTCTACATCTCCCTCGGCAACCTCCAATACGGCCAATCCCGAGAAATCTACCTCAGCTACAACTGCACCTCAGAGTACATCAAGTCCGTCAAGAACAGAAAAAGCTCTACCCCGCTCCCAACCATCACAGCAGTCCTCAAATTTCACGAAGACACCCACTCCTTCAACCCCAACCAACCCACCCGTCTCACCACCAAACGCAACATCACCGACCACTCCGTCTCCCTCCCCCCTGCCGAAATAGCCTACCACATCTCCCGCTCCTCCCTCATCTCCTTCATCTCCAAGTTCTTCCCCCTCGACTTCGAAAACGAGCACCAACCCCTCTCCGACCTCCCCGACGGGATGCCGTCCCAACTCACCGCCCTCGTCAACTCCCTCCCCGCCGTGAAATACACCACCACCCACCCAGGCTGCAAATCCCTCCTCATCGACCTCTGCGGCCTCAACATCGACCCCTTAACCACCCCCCCCTCATCCTGGACCGGTCAGATCGCCCTCGCCCTGACAAACACGCAATATTACTTCCGCTGGGGAAAACACTACCTCCCCTCCCTAGCCGGCGCCCACGCCCGCCAAATCTGTCAACACCTTCAAAGACGCCGGCCCAAAACAATACGGAGCCCACTCCCCTTTATTCATCACCTGCAGAGACAAACTAGACGACGCGTTCGACCACCTCTCCCCCCCCAAAGCCGAGCAATGCCCTGCCACCAGTCTACGCCCGGTACACCCCCGCCTCCGATTCCCCGCCGGCGTACGACACCCAGGATTATAGAGACGAAGGCTGGAAGTGGGGCAGCGGTGGTGGCAACAGTGGTGATGTATACAACACCGCCAACGTCACAATCAACATGTCAGATTACAATGACGAAGAAGGGGCTTGTTTTGCCGGTTTCACCCTCGTCACGTTGGCAAACGGCAACAGCGTCAAGATTGGTTCTTTGCGAAGGGGGGCAAGGGTGTTGACTCCGAGGGGGGGGAGAAAGGTTGCTGCGGTGATGAAAACCCCCGTGAGAAGAATGGGGATGACAGTTGTTCAGGGGGGACGGCAAAGGTTTTTGGTTACGGGGTGGCATCCTGTTAGGGTTGGGGAAAAGTGGGTGTACCCGCAGGAGATGAAGGCGGGGGGGAGGGTGAGGTATACGAGGGTTGATTTACTCTGTTTTGCTTGAAAGGGACGACGACGTGGAGGCGCATGCGATGATGTTGGGTGGGGGAGGCGGTTGGGGGGTTACGTTGGGGCATGGGATGACTGGTTCTTCGACCGCGGGGGATGATGTGAGGGCTCATGGGTTCTTTGGGGATTATGACATGGTTGGGAGGGCGCTGTCGGGGCTGCAGAGACTGGGTAATGGGTTGGTCCTTGGAGGTGGGGTGGTGAGAGATCCGGTGGATGGGTTGGTGAATGGGTTCAAGAGGGCTGTGGTCACTCGGACGCCAGGGCCTGTTGCCAGAGGGAGTTGTGGGAAGCAGAGGAAGATGATGTTGTACGCTTAGCATTTTGTATCAACAGCACATGCCTAAGTAACACTTATCTTGTATTTAAATAAATATATGTCGTCATTATCAACACATGGTCAGAATGTTGACAGGTGGTCAATGCTATGGAGCGTAACATGTGTGTTCAATTTGCTAGTTATCGCAAAACAGAGTTTTGATACAGCTCATGGTCAACAGATCTGTATAGGTATGACGCTACCGCATATCCCATCCCAATCTGCATCCTTCAAGGTAGGTATCCTTCAGTCAGAGATAAGATAGGTTCCCCACTTGAATCTGCTCCTCCCATTACTAGATCACCATATCCCTTCCTTGATATTGTAACAATCCATAAACATGGTCAAGCGCTGGAGTATCTTTAGCTACTCTCGCTTCCCATATTTCTCTGTGAGGTGATCGAGCAGCTCCTCGCCCGTCCTGAACTCCCAAGCATCGCTGCTCTGATCGCTGTTCACAATCGCCTCGACAGCATCAGCAATATCCCAAAAAGCATCGCCGTCAAGGAAAAACAAGATGTAGCAGATCTTGACCTTCTCCGTTTTGAAGGTGTCTGGCTTGTCGCTCCAGGCGCGGGTGATGTCGCGTTTCCAGAGCATAAAGTTGAAATACCGAACATACTTGTTAGGCTCGGAGCCATCAAATCGGGTGGGCTCTTTGGCGGTTTCTTTCTTTTCGGTACCGGCCATCTCTTGATCGGACTTTGTGTCACTGGCTTCGAGGTCGGCAACCTTTCTCTTCAAGTTGCTGATCTCATGATTCAGACTGGCATTCTTGTTCTTCAAATCCCGAATTTGCTTGTTGGAGTATCCAGCCAGCTCATTCCAGATTCCAAGCAGGCTACCCAGGCCGCCAGGACGAGCAATGTGAGGGTGGTGGATGTTGACTCCCAGATGCTGGAGGACGTCGAGCCTGGAGAGGACCTCGGGTTGGATCTCGAGGGTGGCATAGATGTTCTTGTAGAATGGCAGCGCTTTTCGGAGTTCATTACGGACGTCGGCGATGTCCTGAGTGGACCAAGACACTGCATTTAATTGGGAGGAGAAGGATTTTGGGGTACCTCTGGGAACAGAGACGGCGCGATTGAACGGGGCTGGGCTGGTGATGGTAGAAGGGGACCCAAAAGACACTTGAACATGAGGGGCCAGCGAATTTGGGGAAGGGGTGGGGGAGGGGTCGCGCTGGTGGAAGACATCACGGGATTGGCTTGGGAATCGACGGCGCCTTGAGGACAGTTCTCAGTCCTGTTGCTGGGAGGCGTTTGGAATCCGTTCAGGGGCTTCTGGTCAGAGGCCATCGTGACAGTCAAATTCAACACACGCAAGATGTTGAGCGAGAGAATCGTAGCAGAGAGAAGATGGAAGCCGGGAAATGAGTGGATTCAACCATGATCAAGCGCGTCACTCTTAAACGGAAGGAACGATGCTCAGACAATAAAGTTCGTGAGGCAGCTAGCTACCAGCCATACTCCGTATGGCCTTCACACTCTGACAAAGGCATGGATGGTACCTCATTTTGTCTAGATAGTCATTCATCACAATTCCATTCTTATCCAAAGTAATCTGGCGCAGAGAATACTGACGGGATCTCTCCAGAATCAGAGCTGTGGATGCTTTTGCAAATAACAGCATGGTGTTGTTGCAGCTCCTTCCTCGGTGTTGATGATGTTGCAGAGTGACAGGGTGCAGGGTGAACAGCTGCTTGCCAACTGGTCTCCACCCCGGCTGCCGCACAGGCCATCTGCGCCGACTGCCCCACTTCCTCTGGTGCGGGCCAATCTGAATTTCACACCGCTTTCATAGGGTTTTCAAGCCCTGCCAAAAATTTGGTGAGCGCCCTTCGAGCAGAGCCACCTCCCAAATTGCATCTTGCACGACCGGTGATACTTTCGACAACAGAGGGACCAGAGGGGCTTGATCCACAACATTCACAATGGTGAGTACCCTCGTTGTTGCAAACGACGGCATCATCGATTGCTGCCGTCGATGGCCCAATTGCTGTTTGTCGATTTACTGACCGAGTCTCTTCGAAATCCAGGCGATCAAGCACAACCAGCAGATTCCCAACAACCGTAAGCAATATCCATCTACACATCCCAGTCCAGCGACCGACAGAGACTCCGACGAGACGATGACGATGCCAAACCCGGGCTACGAAGATTTTGGAGGAACACAGCGACTGACATCGAATTTCAGATTTCCGCAAGGATTGGCAGAGGCGCGTGCGGTGCCACTTCGACCAGGTTCGTAATTATTGATCGAGCTGGGATAGCGGCCGATAATCTCGAAAACACATGGGAACCTCAATTCTGACGTGATGGAAAATATAGCCCGGCAAGAAGGTCACCCGCCGTCTGGCGCGCCGTGCGAAGGCTGCTGCCGTTGCCCCTCGCCCCGTCGACAAGCTCCGCCCCATCGTCAGATGCCCGTGAGTTTACTCCAGCAGCAACGGAGGAATGTGTAGTGGAGGATGTGGCCTAACGAGATTCTGTGCAGCACCATCAAGTATAACCGCCGGACACGCCTCGGCCGTGGTTTCTCCCTCGCTGAGCTCAAGGCCGCCGGTATCCCCAAGCTTTATGCTCCCACCATCGGCATTGCCGTCGACCCCCGCCGTGCCAACCTCTCCGAGGAGTCCCTTGCCGCCAATGTCGAGCGCCTCAAGGCCTACAAGGCCCGCTTGATCGTCTTCCCCCGCAAGTCCAACAAGGTCAAAAAGGCCGACACCCCCAAGGACCAGCAGTCCGGCGAGACCGTCAAGACCATTGCCTCCGCTTTCGGTCTTGGTGCCCCTCTTGCTCCTGGCTTCACCGAGATCTCCAAGAGCGACCTCCCCAAGAACGTCGAGGGCGGTGCCTACAAGGCCCTCCGCAAGGCCAGATCCGATGCCCGCCACCAGGGCATCCGCGAGAAGCGCGCCAAGGACAAGGCCGACGAGGAGAAGGCCAAGAAATAGGCGTCTGGTTCTTCTTTTTGTGTTGGGGTGCAACGGTTAGGAATGATTCCCTGAGGTGTTCATTGGGCTGGTTCTGCTGGTCTGCATTTCTGCTTTTCCCGGTATCCCGGACGGGAACAATAAAACGTTCTCTCTCCATGGCTGTGTAGTTCGGGGGCAGACCCTCGGGTTCGGGCAGATAACACGCATCATAGGGATTTAGAGCATTCACAAAATGAATGGACAAAGGGAAAAAAAAGCATGATTGATGGCCACACATGATTTTCGGGTGATCAGCGGTAATTGACTGGGTTTTTCTACAAATAATGGTTCAGTTATGAATGCTGTTTACATGTTTCGCTGTTACAACGCTGTACAGGTTGTCCCTCTGGAGTTTACTGCCACTGATATACCTCCATCAACTCTGAACAGTCACACATCCAGGCTTTATACGAGATAATAGAAGCGTCCCCCCTCAGGCAAGCCAGACGGGGAGTTCGACCCCCAAGTGTTCACCTCCAACATGGTTCCAGGCGTGGGAGGTCTCGAGGACATGCGCACATATCCCCCAGGTACCTCCTACACCTGGCTCGTCCCCTCCCTATCCTTCACCACCAACTCCCCTCCTCTCTCCAGCACGGCCTCGACCAGCCTCCTCCTAGCAGGTGACATCTGATCTTTGAACATCCCTAGCAACATAGCCATCAGCACCAGGGCATTCTCCCTGTCAACCTTGACCATCCTCTCCGGCTGCTTCTGCGCCTGGGCGTCAGCCTGCTGAGGTTCCAGTCCCAACCCCTGGACCAACTCCGTAACTTCCTTTGTCTCTTTCTCCTCATCATTCTTACCCTGCTTCTCCTCTTCAATCTCTTCCACTCTGTTGTCACCAGTCCCAAGAAACTTGCCCACCATCTCATCATCCCCCGTCGCAGCCTTCACAATCGCCTTCAAAACCCCCTCTTCCGCTGCCGTGTCTTCCACCACCTTGAGCACCATGTTGGACCCCTCAGGGTGTTGACTCGCCATGAGCGCCAAAACAGTAATTGCATCCGACCTGACAGACGGCCACTTTGCCTGCGTGAGCATCGTCGTAAACGACCCAGCAATAATGTCCGAGTGTGTCTTGTAGAACTCCTCCAGCTCCCCCGAGGACCCCAACACCCCAGGATCCTGAGACAAGACTCTACAAACCGCCGAAACCACCACCCTGGCAGCCTCAAGCTTGGTAGGATCCTCGTTTGGAGAGCCAGTAGCCGAGCGGTACAACAGGTCAAGGTTCGTCCTGTATGTTGCCGTCTCCCCCTGAGAAGATGACTCCGCTGAAGCCAGGCCGTTCTCATCCTTTTCGTCAGAGGCAATCGACACCGGCTTGCAAACCAACCTCACATTCTCCCTACACCCCACAAGCAACAACCTCCCCAAGCTCACAGCAGCAAACATCATACTCGGCTGACTATTCCCAAACCCCTCCCACAACCCAGCCAAAGTCCCACTCTTCAACAACATCTCCCCCAACACCGGTTTATTCGCCGCCGGGATAGCCAAGTTTTTTGTAAACCCCAACGCAGCATGCGTCAGCTGCAAGCTCGGCCGCTCTCCCTGCCTCACCTTCCCGGGGACTGACCTCCCCAAAATTTTCACCACCCCTTCACCAACTCTCGGCAACAACTTCTTAGTCGACTCATCACTCCTCCCCAAATTCCCCAACGCCAAACAAGCCGCGTTCTGCAACTGAGGGAACTTCTCCAATTCCAACCACCCCACCAACGTCCCCACCTCCTCACTATCAATCCCATACACATCCCCAAACCCTTCCACGTCGGTAATATCCGCAAAGAGCGTCACAAATCCATGCTGAACTTGCTTCAGCTGCTCCTTCGTCTCCTCTTCTACATCCTCCCCCGCGGTCTCAAACCTGATATACGACTGCAAAAACGCTTCTTGCAATAGACTAAAGTGCTTGTTTTGGATAAAAAACACCTGGAGGCCTCTATTGACGAGGTAGGAGAGGGCAGAGGTGCAGATCGACAAGAAGATTTCCCGATCGAGGGGGGACGAGAGGCGGTTCTCTTTGTTGATGGCCAGGGTGAGGAGGGCGGCGGGGGTACGGGGGTAGCAGATTTTGAACTCGGATGCTACAAAGGGGGGGTGGCGGTTAGCTGGTTGTTATGGGCATGCGAGGAAGGGGGAAAATACCATGGTTTGTGAGGAGTTCAAGGACGGTCATGATTTGGGTGAGGTGGGCCTCGCATGCTCGGAGGCGTTCGCCGGAGATGAGGTCGATGAGGACTTTGCTTAGCGCTGCGTTGGAGACTTGGAGTTGGGCTGAGCCTAGGAGGAGTGTTAGCTCATTGATAGGGATAGAGAGGAAGGGGAAGGGGAAGGGGAAGGGGCTTACTGTAATCTACGCAGACGTTGAGCATGGTGATGACGGCAAAAGGGAGAAGGTGGTCCTCAGAGAGAAACATCTTGAGCATGTTTGTCAGCTTGCCAGAGGCGACCACGACCTTTCTGTTCTCATCTAGACCGTTTGTCAGTACCAGGTTCACTTTGCACATGATGTGAAGTAGCCACTCACCATTGTCAACACAGGCATTGCCAATAACCCTCAAAGCCTGTTTGTTGAGTGGATGAGACCCTTGAAAGACACCGTCATAGTAGACGGGAACAGTGTCCAGAAGGAATGACAGAAGCCCCGACTTCCCAATGACTTCTCTCCATGATGCTACTCACAAAGTCAGCAACGTCCCAGAAATATGAGCTTTGCAAAAAAACTTACGGTCTCTAGCAGCAACAGCAAATTGACCAGAAATGCAAGCGAGCGCATCTCGATCGGCGCGTGGCAAAAGTGTAACCAGCTTTCTCAGCACTGCTTCCCAGAATTTCGGCTTCTCCCCGGGGTCGCCCTTGAGAATGAGGGCAACCTGCTCTTCCAAAGGGAGAGGCATCTTGGTGATGATTCTGCGGCGGATGTGATAAACACTTATTAACGAATGTAGTGGGATGTAACTGATACCCAAGACTGATTGGTAAGATGTCGATACGGCTTCACTGGTGGTGATGCTGGGCTATTGTTATTAGAAAGAGAAGAAGTGAACAGGCAGAGGTTCAGCCCTCGTTTGCTTTCACTCAATTTGGTAGGGTCCAACTTCATCAGAATGGCAGTTGAAGGTCAGTTGTGACTTCCCAACATTCAACAAGTGCAGTCACGGTGAGCAATGTGGTCCGTGCACATGACATTTGGGGCGTTGGCCACTTCCCCCTTTGTTTGGTGGATCTTGGATTATGCACCATCACGACGGCAAAAAGACTGACAAAACAGACACAATTCTCATGTTGTTACATCGACACCTGAGTTTTGTCTACATTATACATGCTACACAGGGATATCCTCAGCGGTAATATACACACAGCAACCCAGCAGGTTCCGGCAGCTTTATTTCGTACCCGTAACCCACTTCTTCTCGATCGCATTGTCGATATTGGCAGTGCCAATAACAGGGAGGCCACGTCTCTCGAGCTCCTCCCGGATAACCTTCCAGCGACCCATCATCTTCTCCTTGTCGATGGGTGTGACTCTGCGGGGGAACACCTTTACGTTGGGTAGAGACTGGAAGAGCTGCTTGTTCTCAATCTCCTCGGCGAGCTTCTTAGCCTTGGGTGGCTTCACGATCTCCTTGAGAAGAACACCACCGGAATTGATAGCGACCAACTTGCCATCTGGAATCCTGTGTCCAGTAAGCTTGTAGATACGCTTGGCAATCTATCATATGGTTAGCACTGGTTTGTTGTGCAAAAGAGAGGGCCAGACTCACAAAATATTTGTAGATGAGGTCCTTGATCATGGGCCGCTTCCATTCATGGCCAATTTCCTTCAATAGCGCCCGGGCCTCTTCAGTGCTGATAACATGGTCCGCCGAGTCCTTTGTTGCGTCAACTTCCTCCTTGACCTCGGTCTCGGTCTCTTGCTCGGAAGCGACACCTGTGTCGGCTTCCTCCTTGGTCTCCTCCGTTATCTCAGCTACTTGCTCAGAAGCGACAGCTGTCTTAACTTCCTCCTTGGCCTCCACAACCTCAGCCTCTTGCTCCGGGGTGACAGCTGCCTCGAGCTGTTCCTTGGCCTCCTCCGTTACCTCAGCCTCTTGCTCGGCGGCAGTAGCTGTCTCGACGTCTTCGGCTGGCTTCAATATAAGAGTGCCATGTGAGCCACCGCACAGCTTGGTTTGAACAGTGGTGGCCGTCAATGCCGCGGGGCCCCACCCGGACTCGAGCAGAGCATCCCTAGCGGGAGTCGCGTCCGGCGTGTTCATTTGCCGTCTCGCAACCATGGCCTCAACCAACGCACGGTAAACCGCCACCTCGAGAACGGCTGGGTCGGTAATCTTCTCTGCGGGGCCATAACCAACCCACTGCCTGCCCACACCATAGTTGTCTGGGTTCTCCCACCAACCATCCAGTCCACCCACTTCCTCCAGCTCTAATCCATCTTGTGCCGGCTCGTATGCGGGGTCGGTGATCTTGTCTGGGCGGACGGCAGCCTTCTGTGCTTGTGGGGGTGGTTTGAGACCCTGTGGTGGGGTGTAGGCTTCAACAGCGTCGGAGCGGGGGAGGGACGTGGAAAGAGTTCGCCTTTGAAGGGATTGGGTCTTTGTGGAGGAAGAGGAAGTCGTCGCGACGGCAGCCACAGCGGTGGTGGTACGGATATGGGTCGGAGAGGAGCAGCACAGGCTCGCGGAGACGGCGCCCCGTAACCTCGGGAGATGGCGCATAGTTTGTGTATTCTTTTCGGAGCGAGGAGGCGGGCTATTGGTGTCCCAATTGACCAAAACAGTTGGGAGGCTCAGGTACTGGGAGAGGTTGTCGGTATTTCGCTCTGCCCGGTCCTCTCAAATCTCGAATCCCAAACGCAGAGTGGACGACAGGCACCTCGGGCGATGAGCGCTCAACATCCAGGCCAAAATTTCCATCGGATGCCAAGCACTTTTTACAACATGTGGGGCAATGAACCGGGGAAAAGAGACGGTGCATCAGCCACACTTTCTCCAACTACCCGTGTGGCTTACGTGTGAGATTCAGCAAAATACAGCTAAGACATGGTAGCTCCAGCCACATATCCGACGAGCTGGGTTAGCTCAATTCAAAAAAACTTGCTTGGCGCATCATTGGATGATCAGAGGTTGACGAACGACTTTTGGGATCCCGAAGAACTGCCCGTCGAGAGCTTTCAATTCGTCTGCTCGTCCACCACCACCTCCTCCCACCGGCAACGACCACGATCTTTTGCTCTCGTAGCATATACCTGGACCTACGAGCTCCTCAACTCCAGGGACCAGCCTCACAACTTCTCTACCAGCTACCTAACACCCCGCCTTGATCTCAAGCTTCTTCAACCAAACCCGATTCATCCCGCATCCGGGGATATCTTCCCACCACCACCACCAAAGCTATCACCACCCACTCACCAAAACCACCATGCCAATATCCACCACCCCTCGCAGCGTCTCCGACGCAACCCGCTTCACAGCCACAACCCCCCACGCCGACTCCAAAACCGCCCGCTTCAGCAAACCCCCCAACACCTCCTCCCTGCCCCCATCAGGGGGTTCTCCAGAAGGGAACCCAATCCGGATCGAAACCCCCGACGAAAAAGTCGCCCGCCTCCGCGCCGCCCACCAAAGAGCCAAACTCGCCAATGTCTCCAAGCTAGAGCAGTACCTCGCCGTAGGCCGCTCCCTAGCCGACAAGGGGCACCGTTTGTCAGTCATGGCACTGATAGGCTTCTCCGGTACTTAACCCCCATCCCCCTCCCCTTTTCAGGTGTATGTCACTAACTCTCTCCATCCAGGCCTCGGCATAGTAGCAACAGCCTACACCTTCTACGACATGATGGTCCTCAACCGCAAGCGCAAAGCAGAATGGATCGAGACCCAAAAGCAACTCGAGGCCGACGAGCTCGCCCAGGCCAGACTGGCGTACATGACTGGCAAGGCGGACGAGGACCAAATCGCGCTTGTAGAAGAAGTCATGGAAAGAGAGCGGCAGCAAGGAATGGCGGGGAAGACGTCGTTCTTTGAGAAAATCCCCAGCGGGTTCGCTCCTGCGGAAAGGACACACTCCCCAAGTGTGACGGAGGTTGTGAGCTGGCCTTCTTCTGCTGCGCCGGTACCAGAGCAACAGGGAGAGGGGGGAAAGAAGAAGGGGCTCTGGACTTGGTTGACTGCTAATCTGAAAAAGGAGGAGGAAGGGGAGGAGGTGATGGGTAAGGAGAGGAGATTAGGGTGGGAGTCGTTGAGTGAGGAGGATGATGGGATGGGGGTGAGAGATAGCGATCTTGTCCGGGCGTCGGAGGGGAGGGGGGTGGCCAGGGGGTTGAAGGAGAAGGCGAGGGAGGCGTTTGAGAAGGAGAAGGAGAATGAGAGGAGGGGTGGGGCGTTGGATCGGATTGGGTTGGAGGAGAAACAGGAGGGGGAGAAGAAGAAGAAGGGGTGGTTTTGGTAGAGACCTACTACCACACAACCAGAGGTATATAACGACCGCGTTGGCTGGTGATGAGGGCTGTGCTGTCGACTGGGAGGAAAGGTTCGAAATGCAAAGGAATGGAGATGGTGGGCTGGACGGGTTGTAAGGCAACCATAATCACCACTTTCAAAGAGGGATTGTGACCAGCAGGCCGCTTTGTGAAAGAGGCGCTGCTTGTATCGATAGTGTATTAGGAGAAAAAGGAAACCGTTGCATAACTCCGGCGTTTTTTTTGGTTGTTTTTTTGTATGACATATTCATCATCTTGTACATACATGTACACTCACCATAGTGGAAGTCATTTGATGTTGAATTGAGAGCAGAGAAGTAGATTATGTGTGGTACTTGTTCATGTAGTCATACGCTTCGGTGAAGCCCACACATCTCTCTCCCATGTCTCTCCCATGTCTCACATCCCAAGGCAGCACAGTCAAGGAAGGGTATGATATCAATGTTCCGCTTTGTATTCTTTTTCTCATCAGCAAAGATACTAATGCCTCAACCAATGCAAATAACTGGATATAAGAAATTCCAGCTGTGTGTTGTGTGTGTGTGTGTTGTTGTGTCCGATTCTACTGCCCTCCCAATTTGACATCTCAACTCCCAATTCCCCTGCTCGCTCGCTGTCCCATTCCCAAACTATACACAAAAGAAGTCACTTTGCTCGCTGGCAATGATGTGTGTGCGCGTTGCATGAAATACCAATGCTGCCCTTCCCATTCCTTCAGCCGTCCCAAACAAAACACAAGCGCCGGCCCAAAGGCAACAAAAGACCGTATCCATCCCAAGCCCTATACAGTGACCAAAAACAGAAAAAAAAGCAAACGAGTGAGAACCAAAACCTAATTACGCTTCCTTGGTATCAACCGCAAATCATCTGTCAGGCAACCTCCCCTTTAACAACAAGCAGCACAAATCCTCCTACCACCAAGCCATCCCTTCTCTTGTTCCCCATGACACCCAATCCTCTCCCTCACCCCCTCAACCCTACTCTTCCACCTCCCATCAGCTTCATCCCTCTAAGAAATGATGATATGATTAAAATGCCCCGGCACCTTCATCCTGCACTTATCACAATCCGCCCGGTACCCTATACTGAACGACCTCTTCACTCCCGGCGGCACCGCGGTCCACGAGTTGACCGTATGTCTTGACCTCGCGTGCCCCCGTTTCGGTGATGGCGAGCCCGATTCCACCTCCATTCCTCCATTTGGTGAACCCGGTCGCGGAGATTGCTCCCTCATCGATGCCAGCAACGGGTGCACGTGCGTCAAGTGGCTGAGATGTCCGCTCGGGGACGTGGTGATAGGGTGAGGGGAGCAGCACGAATCAAGCACCATGGCTGGGCTGTCTTCACCGCCGGTTTCGCTGATCGGGGATGGCAGCCGGCGGTTCTGGATGTGATTCCAATCCGCCATTGCCAGAGCGTTGGTGGTCGGATTCGAGTCGTGGGCCACGGCAGCGTCAACCATGCCGTTGCTGTCAAAGGCCATGGAAGTGGGTTCTTCCGGTGTTGTTGCCAGCGCACCGTGGGCCTCGTTCCAGTTTTGGCCTCGAACCTGAGCTGCAAAGCTGCAGTATATTGGTGTCGGGATGCGACCGGTGACACTGGGAAGTGGCTCCGGTTGGAAAGCGTTGAGGTGGTTCGGGTTTGGCTCGGGGGCGGTGTCCATCATGTCCATGTCCATGTCCATGTCTGCCATGGTGATACTAACATTGACCGGGGATTGTAGGGTTGGAACTGTGACGATCTCTGGCTCCTCGGCGAAGGCAAAATGACCTGGCTCCTCAGAATCCGAACTGTTTGGCGTGATGGTTCGTGGTTGGCTCGGGATGATGAATGTTGTTGGCGGCGCATGGAATCTTGGTGGTTCGGCCCATCGCTTAGATGGGGGAGACGTCCTAAGTGGAAGGGCTTGGAGGCGTTTCTGGGTCACCAGATGTTAGCTACGTCCCGGCTATGTCGACTCTGATGGGATGCGACAATACTTACACTCCTGTGTTCAGTGAAGCCAAGCGTACCACCAGGGGATATCTCGGCAAGGTCCTCTTCTCTCCCCCTTTTGCGCTGGAGCGCAGGCCAGCTCTCGTTGGACAACATGGCGCAATTGGTTGACGATGAGGCTCTGGGAAGCGTCCCCTCTATGTCTGTACCTCTCGACCAGTGCCGTTCGCAAGCAACTGGAGTCGTATACTGCGTGTTTATCAATGATTGAGCGGAGTCGGAGAGCCGGCAAATTCGAGATGATGGTCGTCGATGAAATGATTCTGCGCGGTGCGTATAGCGAACGAATGTTTTAAAAAAAATTTGCCGACGATACCCTCCAGTACCATGTATCGTTCTCAATGTCTTGCAAGAAGAACAGAGGAAAGGAGGGGGCGGAGTCTGGAAGGGCTGACGGGAGGGATGGCAGGCAGGCTGGATTGGAGGTCTGGGGCTGGGCCTTGGCCGTCCTCTCAGCTCCTGCTGGGGTTCAAATGGCTGTTAGCAGAGACATGACAGTAGGTGGCGGTTGGCCCTTACTCCAAGTTTCTCACTAGCACGACCCCAAGACCTGGAACGTGCTGTCCCACTCCCCGGAAACAGGCAAGCGATAGCAAGTCCCGACGATGCTATCTTATCGATACGGGCAGGAATATGATATGAGAAGTCGATGTCGATGCAACTTGCTGAATACCTAATTTGGCTCGTTGATGTGATCGTTGATGGGCAGAATGACAAAGAGCGCGGATGATGGTGAGAACAAAACTTTTGTCCGTCCGAATATGCAGTGTGAGACAAACACTCCAAGCTGAAGAACAACGACGACCTCGATGAGGGGCCGGGCAACAGCCGACGTCAGATGCAACAGGGGGTCACAGCTGCCTGGTTCAACAGGAGACACAAGAGAAGCAGGATGAACAGGAAAGGGGAAGATGCTGCAGGGTGAGGGCATCGAGGGATAGGTATCTGGTAGTTAGCCATCCAAAATACCTAAAGCATTGTCGAGATGCCTGGCCAGAAAAGAGAAGCATTTCACCTTGCTTCTTCGTGTTGACCCCACCTCCATTCAGACGCATCTCACGCACGGACATCCCCATAAACATGGGGCGGGCGTCAACCGTCAGTGCTCCCGGCTCGCTGGGAAGCCTTATTCACCAGTCAAGTCCCGTTGAGAAGCTCGTCAGTTTCAGAATTGCTTCAAGAACTGTCCACCGCGTCCATTTCCGGTTTGTTGTCTCTGTCCCATTTTGGATTCTGGATGGCAAACACATGGGATGGAAAATAACAAGCTGACGCATAATTTACGGTCCGGCCATGCGAGGTTGGCTGGGAACCAGTGGCCGTTGGTGGTCGTTGGTCAACGGCCGGTCCTCGAGAGGCCGTCCACGAGTAGGGAGGGGACATCGGTGATCGGGTCTGATGGAATCATGAACTTGATGAGACATTTATCATGGGTGGATAGTGGGTGTATCGGACAATGGTGTTATTGCTGACTCGTGTGGTTCCAGTCCCGGAAGATTCGAAACGTGTAAGAAGCATTGAAGAACATGTCTTCAGTGCCACTTGGTCGGGACTGTGGGAGCATCAAAGGACACGCAGAGTTCAAGACATGACTGTCGCCGGCCGACTCAAAATACTCATGCTCATATCACCATCCGGTCTCGGCCCCGGCCGACAATGGCTTCGGTAGCCGTGGCCTGGAACCCGGCAGTCAGCGATAAAGAACGGCCGGTCTTGCGGTTTGTCGCCCTTAGGTCCGGCCTTTTTGCGGACCAGTGGAGCAGAAGCCCGCCAGTCCGTCGGCATCACAAGCACAACATCACGACCTGCTAGACCTCGGTCGTCTCGGGAGTGGAAAGGCTTCATTATCGCCAAGTGGCCGATGTGGCACTCTGCTAGGCTCATGACATGGAGCATTGATGGGACCCTTGGTTATGCGTCACCTTCGAGCATCTGCTGTGTGATGCAAACCAAGGGTACGGATCCGGAACCCGGAGGACCCAGCTGTTAACTTCGGATCCAACCAAGCAGTCTATCCTCTTTTGGGGAATCGGAGGCTCGTTGCTGTCTCCAAATTTCTCCAAATCTTGCGGTTTGGTCTCGAGTATCTTCCGTGTCGCACTTTCACACAACTGACGACAATCCCATTCTCTTCTGGCCAATCATAAGCAGGGTGTTGCAAAGAAGCACAAATGCTCGAAGAGCATATCCAGATTGATACACGGGGCGGTGGCGGAGGCTCAATATGAGCTGCGAGGTTGATTACACGTCTGCTTGATGGCCAGAATGGAAGGCGGTGAAGCATTGCATCGTCAAAAAAAGTTTACCCCTCCCCCACCTTCGAAGTTGCTACCCGCTACAACGGCGCACTTCCAAACTCGTCGCCCGGACGCCCTGCTGCATTGAGCCTAGGATTTGGCCAAAGACATCTGTTGTTCTGCTGCTTGCCTCCGTCTTCGGACACACATGCGTGGAAGGGATCGTCTTAGTGGCCGGGGGTGGCCAATTCCTCTTCCCGTCAGGTTCACCCCGCCAGCCTGTCGATGCTCTCAGTATTGCATCGTGGGTTGGATTTCATGAGCTGCCTACGCAGAATGCTGAAACTTGCAAATCTCCCAAGGTATATCTCGCTCATTGCTTGGAGCTCGCGATGGCATGTCAATTCAGCCACGGCGTTCAACGTACAGGTAGGGATTGTTACCATTTGGAAATTTTAGTGCCCGACATCCCGCCCCGGACCGATATTGGTCTTGGGACACTGAACTGGGGCACCGTCTGAGTCACTTGAACAAGTCAATATCATCTCATCTCCCACTTGCTCCAGAGATACCAGAATTGTCCCGCTTCAAATATTCCAATTGCGAAGCTTTATCAGTCAAGCCCCTTTTAATTGGTTTATCGAAGTTCAAGCTCCTCGGTTTCTTTTGTTGCTGCACCTGGCCCACTACAATTGTAATTGCTCGGATCTCAGAGGTCAACCCAATTTTTGCCTTAAAGAACCTACCCCAGCCCATCTCACCCTCCAAACTGGCCGCACCTTCCCTGTTACTTGCAGCTACAACATCACCTCTGGAGAGCATCGCTTCGTGTTGTCTCTTCTCGTCCTTCACAACACACCCTCACCCGGATTTTTGGGCTGTCTTGCTTTCATTCGACACGCAACCGTTTTGTGATACCCTATAATACATCGCTCACCATGCCCGGACTCGATATGGCGCCTCTTCAGGCCGATGACATGAGAGGTACGATCCACCTCAGACGCACGCGCTTAACAGTCACTAACTCGTTCAAAAGTGTTGGGTCAAGATCCCCTCATTCCCCCTGCCCTTCTTATTTCTGAGATCCCCATCACCGAGGATGCTCTGCAAACAGTAGTAAAGGGCAGACGTGATGCCGTCGGCGTCATCATGGGCCGCAACGACCGTCTCCTGGTCATTGTCGGCCCATGCTCCATCCACGACCCCGCCACCGCCATTGAGTACGCACACAGACTCAAGGCTCTCTCCGACAAGCTCTCAGAGGACCTCGTCATCGTCATGCGCGCTTACCTCGAGAAGCCACGCACCACCGTTGGCTGGAAGGGTCTGATCAACGACCCTGATATCGATGAGACCTTCAAGATCAATAAGGGTCTCCGCGTATCCAGACAGCTCTTCCGTGACCTCACCTCCACCGGCATGCCCATCGCTACCGAGATGTTGGACACCATCTCTCCTCAGTTCTTGGCCGACCTGATCTCAGTCGGTGCCATCGGTGCCCGTACCACCGAGTCTCAGCTCCACCGTGAGCTCGCCTCTGGCCTGTCCTTCCCCATCGGCTTCAAGAACGGAACCGATGGCAGTCTTGGTGTTGCTATCGATGCCATCGGTGCTGCTGCTGCCAAGCATCACTTCATGGGTGTAACCAAGCAGGGTCTTGCTGCCATCACTCGTACCAGCGGGAACGAGCACGGCTTCGTCATTCTCAGAGGTGGCACCAAGGGCACCAACTACGACAAGGCCAGCGTCCAGGCTGCCAAGGAGACCCTTGTCAAGAAGGGTCAAAAGCTCGCTATCATGATTGACTGCTCTCACGGTATGTCCTTGCTCGGATGAACCATAACATGAACATCTTTACTGATAATATTTAGGTAACTCTAACAAGGACCACCGCAACCAGCCCAAGGTGGCCGCCACCGTCGCCGAGCAGCTCCGCGAGGGCGAGACCGCCATCATTGGTGTCATGATTGAGTCCAACATCAACGAGGGCAACCAGAAGGTACCTGCCGAGGGCCCTGCCGCTCTCAAGAAGGGCGTCTCCATCACCGATGCCTGCATCAACTGGGAGAACACCGTGGCCGTCCTCGAGGACCTCGCCGCCGCCGTTCGCGAGCGCCGCAAGGTCAACGCTGGCAAGGAGGCCGCTGCCGAGGCCAAGACCACCCCGTTGGAGGAGGATTAGGATCTCACCTTTGACCGGATGGGGAATACTTTGTACTTTCGGGAGTTTTTACCTCGACAAGGGGTTTCTGGGTTTAGCATTGGGCAATGAAAACACAAAAAGCGGAAGGAATGGGAATTTCAAAAGCAGGAAGGCAAAAAAAAGTGCGTCGTATCATGGGAAGGGAGACAAAAAGCAAGCTTGGGGAATAAACATGAGCAGGGTTCCATGTCGGTTTTTTTTGGTCAACAACAAAAACGGGGTTGATGGAGGGGTGGTGGTCGAGTGCCGCATAATGAAACCGTTTTTTGCGAGCAAGGTTGTTCCCGTAGGGGGGGAGTAATGTAAGGAAATGAAAAAGATCTTGTCAACATGCTCGGTGCCATGTGTATTACTTTCAACAGACCAAGCCCGACTCATTTGTCCATTAAGGCCATAACACGTCGTATGATATGTATTGCTTTTAACAGAGCCAACCCAAGTTGTATTCCCGTTCAAACGCCAAAAACACCGCGTCGCATCATGGTATCCATCTCCTTTTACACATCTCCATCATCGTGCACCACCGCCCTCCCCCAAAGGACTGTACGTCCCCTGCCCTTCGCCTCCTCCTCCACCAGTACCTCTCCTCGTCAGCCCCCCTCCACCAATATTCCCCCCTCTCTGGGCATC